AAATGACAGGAGAGCAGTATATGACACTAGGAAGAGTGCAGGTACCGATGAATCGCCAGACAAAGGGTTTAGGTGTGTGCTAGGAACGTAAACGACGAATGTAATAAAGACGTTTACGAACTGCAGTAATTAGTGACTCAGTATGGAGAGAGAATGAAAGATCTGACGACAAACTAACGCCAAGCTACCTGAAAGAGGATACCTCGTTAGGAAGGATGTCAGAGAATTCAGGACTAGGAGAGGGCCACAATCGGGAAACACACTGAACTGATTTTTGGTTGTTCATTAGGAGACCATTTTCTCTCGACCATACTAGGACATGGTTAAGGCTATCCTTTAGATGTTGGAAGTGGGTCTGATTTTTGAGAGGGTGTACAATAACCACATCATCTACACACCTCACCAAAAAACAGTCGTTAGTGGATCTTAGATCGTCGTTTTTGACGGAGAAAAGGTGCAGACATAGAATGGAATCTTGAGAACTCCGCAGTCATTGTGAAGAAGCGTTGATTTCCGCTGGCCATATTAAATAAATTGAATGCGGGAAGTAAAATAATCACTAAGCCAAGAGACGACGCGGCCTGGAAAGCCGCACGCGAATGTATTGGTAAGGAGTAGAGGGCGCGGGACGCTATTGGAGGCGGAGGAGTAGTCAAGAAAAACGCATGCGTACTCGCGGCAACCCTTGTCAAATGCTTTTAGAGCAGAGTGGACCACAAGAGCAACAGCATCTATAGTACTGCGTTTGGCTTTATATGCATATTGTAAAGGGTCAAAAAACTGGAAGAAAGAGGTTTTATAATATCTAGGGCTACTCTTTCAGCAAGCTTCAGTAGTGCCGAGGAGCAGACAAATTATACGAAAAGATTAAGCACACAAAATTGCGTGATTTTTAGGGATGGGAGTGATTCTCACTGTACGCCAGGCGTCGGGAATCTTGGACTCTATGAAAGACATATTAATTAGGTGCGTTAAAATAGGGGCTGACTGAGAAGTACAAGATTTAAGAAGGAAAGGCGAGACACCAAACGGTCCGGCAGCTGTTGATCCACGGACCCCTTTAAGGTGTTTCTCTCCTGCTTCCATAGACACGAGGTGGAAGGCACATGGTGATAGGGGAATGTAATCTGAGGTAAGATGAAAGTTATTGTGACAAAATATAAAATTTTTATTTAAGGAGTATCAATCAGCATCCGCATGTACCAGTGTTTTGAGATGGCCGATGGGGCACGTACGATTTTTCTAAATTTCAGTAGAGGAAGGGGAAAAGGGGGAAGGAAGAAGAGGTAAACATTTGACTAACAAACAGGTTATTTAGCCTGTCAATCTCCGTTTTTATTAAGACGGCAACGTCCTTAGGGCTTTCACGTAAGCCTAGCATGTAAAGGAGTTCTTATTTCCTCTTAAGAATTTTAGGTAGTAGGAAGCTTTTCTATCCGGCCGTATCACTACAGTATCAAGTGGCCAACAAATATTGAAACTTGCATTGAAAAACGATGTTAGGTTGGAAGACCAGGATTCAACATTCGCTTGTTTAAGGAAAACGGAGGTAGTATAAGATACACAAGTCTGAATCAGACGAAGTTTTTGTGCGGACGTTTTGCAAACCTTACCCTACACTCAGGCTTGGCTAACAGTGCACATTTAGGGGTGGAATAGATTTTTGGAGGACCCAATAAAGTAGAATGAGCAGAAGCTGACATAGGAGCCCTATTTCTAACTCAAAAATCTTGCTGTGATTGGTCAGAATATGATTTAGGGGGGCGTCTGCTCATGTCTTGAAGGAGACAAGATTATCGAAGCGTAAAAGTGTAAGGGGTCGTAAATTTACGCGATTAAAATCACCGCGACATTATATGACATCAACGCTGTCTGTCGCTCCTTTTAATAAAAGTCCCAAGCAGCTGGCTAGTCGTCCTTCATGAAGTCTGGTTTGAGATGAGACATGTAATGTAAAATGAGATCTTCGGACTGTTTGTGCGAAACGGCGATTAAAGTTGAATTTTGAATGTGTGGCAGAAGTCTGATTCAAGTCGATATTTGGAGCGTCGAAGCCACCCATAATCATGAACTCGGGTCGAATAGAATTCGCTTCTGTTTTCTCTATTAGACTGCTCTCTTATTGCTGATCGTTCCTTGGTGGGCGGTAGACCGTCGGGATCCCGAACGTTTGCAACCCCGGCGTTTTAATGGTCAGCAAAATAGTCTTAGTTGTGCGTGCAAGCTGTCTCCTTTCTTCTGACACAAGCAGGCCATATTTGATGTATGTGAGCAAACCTCCACTTTGACGTCCCACTCTATACTTTCTGAACAAGTGACAACTTGAGAGAGCGACTTCACGATCGTTTACGCATTGGTATATGAACATTATACTTTTTTGCATTTGGTAAGCCAGCTGTGCCGTCGCCGTTGTCATTTGCTTCAGTTTTGGTGACGTACGCACAGGATGAGCGAACATAAACTGGGACGGCCGCTCGATTTTGCAGTTATTGTATATAATCAATTTTTGTACGCCACTGCTCTCTCGCAGCCAGAGGTCCTGGGCAAACTGCCGACGTTTCCGTCGCTCCGCTGATGCTTAATTTAGCTGAAAAGGACTCCTTGGTGGGAATATTTTGATCAAAACGCCTTGAGAGGACGAGTTCAACATGCTCTTTGCAACTCAGATCTATTTTCAGGGACTTAGGACGCGGTGAGATGGAGGGTCCAGTAGCGCGTTTTCTGAGCCTGAAAGCTTTCACTGCTGGAACTTCTTCGTTTGGTTGTAAGATTGTGTTCAGAAAACCTTGGAATAAGCCGAGATCTGCTAGAACGCACTTTTTAGGTGTGTCCGCGTATGCTTCTTTAAGCCCCTGTATTAGTAGTCACCTGGGCGGCCTATCTTTGTTGCGTGATGATGGTGACTTGGGAGTTTCTAGCTAACCTTTAATGACGATGTTCCGGTTGCCATCCCCTTTGAGGACCATTTCTTGAACTAATCGTGGTGTATTTGTGGCAATACTATCCCTTTCGTTTATGCTCATAGAGAGCATATTCGCATCCGCTGCGACTGTGCCTACTTAGCCGATGTTGGTTTCTGTCGATTGCTCAGACAAGTTCTGCCTTTCTACTTTAGAAAATTATTCTCCTATAGTACGAAGAAACCGCCCGATGTCTGTCGTTCCCTCTACAATCATTAGTCCTTTCTGGCTTGATTTCTTTTTTATGTGATTTTACTTGCTTGTATGTGATCTCAGTCTTATAATCAATCACCTGCTTCTGCCCGAATTCTTTGCGCGGGCGGTCATCATCTGCTCTCTAATCTTCTGGGGCGGTTTAACATCATGCCTACTTATCTACTGCGCGGTTTCTTCTGAGGTTTCCGTCCATGAGGTAGTCATTTCTATACCGAATCGTTTAACCTTCTTCTGTGGCGGAGATCGGACAGCTTGGAATCTGGCAATGAGCTGGTCATCGTTCTTCAGCTGAGTGGTTAACAATGACGGGTGTGCACTTCTATTCTCACTTCCCGATTCAGTTTGCGATTTGCGAGTTCCGTTCAATACCACTCTTGTAGAGGGTGACGCTGTATTTTCATGCCGTCGTTTCCTTCTTCTACTTACCCGTTTTGTGTCCCTACACCAAGCAATTTCCGGAAACGGTAAGTTATAGCAGGTAAAGAGTTTCTTTACGTCTTTTGGCTGCTTTTAACCCTACCGTTAGCGGGTAGTTGTTAGTCATCTCTGTCAGTTTCGAAATGTTCTGTTGGCTGCTACTAATCTCACCAAATGGCTTGATTCCATCATACTTTGGCAACAAAACAACGAGGTCTATGAAGAGGTTCGTCTTCGTCTTCAGTGACGTATTGTTTAACGCGATATCTATACAATATTTACATCGAGCACAACAGTTAGAAGCGTCAGTATCCGGTGGAAAATCCTGTGTAGTCGTAGCGAATTCATCGGAATATTTTGTATCGCGGGGCACCCTCGTCCCACGTTTAGTCGCTTCTAGCGTTTTGCATTTGTAAGATCCTCTCCGTCCGAAGTACATTGGCGCTGGTGCATATGGAGTTCCCAGTTTACGATGTTCCTGGCCAAATCCGATGTATCCGCTAGGTGTTGATCTAATACGCCTGATATGATGAAGAGAAGACCCTTCGGAAAAGGGTGTCATATTCGTGAGTTTTTAAGTTGGTGACAGTGACCGGTCGTCAGACGAAATGATTAGAGGCGAGACTGAGATCAGCAGACTAGGTCGGTTGGCCGCGATAGGGCAGACAACGACAAAGAGGCAACTGATGCGTGAGAGGAGTGGGCAACGAGTTATGGTAAGCTTCGGGGCTGGCGGAGGGAAGGGAGAACCCTTGGGACTCGCATTAACGAGTACAAATTATCCCTCCGCCGACGTGACCCTTTTGGCTTTCGTGTTTGCGCACGCCCTTGAGTAGGACCACCGCTTCAATTAGGATGGTACTGATCAGTATCAGTATATTTCAGGGAAAGTAGGTGTGTACCTTTGAAATCCCTATTGGTTACATGCAGAGGATATATATGGAGGAAATGGAAAGGAAGTAACATGAAAGAAATGCGAGGGGAATAGCAAAAACTGTACAGATGAACACAGAATGTTATGCTTTAACAGAGTTTAGAGGCACATTAACTTGCTTTGTTGGTCAAAATACAGTGGACAGTTGAGGCACACTTAAGACACGGGAAAAAGAGGTAAAATTGTTTAGTCTACAGGCATCGTGGTGAATGCGAACAGCGGTGTGCGACGTGGCCCAAGCTTAATAATAACATAAACATATATTACTTAAATGTTGGTAGTAGCATCGTTATAACACTAAATTGTCCGCGTTGGCTGTCAAGGTGGCCGTAGTCCGGCGTTATTGTGGTGCGCGCTACAATGCTGATCTAGTCTCCATTTAAAAGTATCTACCGAGCCTGACATAACAACATCCTCAGGCAAGGCATTCCAGGCTGCAACCACTCTGTTTGAGAAGAAGAACTTTCGGGTGTCTAGCCGGGCGCAGCCACACGCAGTTTGAGTGGATGGCCTCTCAGGTTAGTCGTAGTCGCCAACTCGAAGAAGTCTCCAAACGCGAGGCAGCAGCCCTGATTGCGCACGATGCGGAAAGCTTGTATCAGGTCCCCACGTAGCTGTCTGTAACTCAAAGGAAAGAGGTCAAGATTAGCTAATCGCGTTTCGTAGGGTAGTGACCACTGCCCAGATACAAGTTTTGTTGCTCGCCGTTGAACTTTTTCGAGTATGCCCAAGTCTTTAGCGGTCCAGGGTCGCCATGCTTGGATAGCAAACTCCAGATGCGGTCGCACAAAAGTTTGAAAGACCTTGGCGAAGCAGTCTTCATCAAAGGAGGAGAACGTCCGTTTGACAGGGTATAGCATGGACATCGCCGACTTGGCCGCCTTTGAACATTGCAGCGAAGGCTTAAGCGAGGTTGTGATCCATACACCCAAGTCCTTCTGGGCGTCGACTTCTTGCAGTCGTTTGCCAGTCAGACGGTAGACCGTGTGGTTAGGAGAACTGGTTCTGCCGACGCGTAGGAAAGTACACTTGTTTACGTTGAACGGTAGAAACCAGTCTTTCGACCATTGCTCGAGGTGGTCCAGACTTGTCTGCAGTCGCGCCTCGTCAACTTCGCTTCGTATGGTACTCCAAATCTTTATGTCATCGGCAAACATTGCAACATCGCAATTCAGTTCGTTTGCGCAGTCATTGACGTATACGAGGAACAGCGTAGGGCCAAGAACGGAGCCTTGGGGAACACCACTCTTAACGGCAACCTCGGCAGATTGTTGGTCACCGACGTGGACGGCTTGAGAGCGGCCGATTAAAAAGCTCCGAATCCACATCAGAAGCTTACCCCGCACTCCTGCACGGCTAAGTTTGTATAGAAGGCGGTGGTGAGGCACACTATCGAAGGCCTTTTTAAAGTCGATATAGATGGCATGCACCATATCTCCTCTATCAACAGCCCTAGTCCAGTGTTCCAGACAGTAGAGCAGGTTTGTCACACAGGATCTGCCTTTTCGGAATCCATGCTGAGAACCGGAAAGCAAATGTTTTTGTTCAAGGAACTGCATTAGTTGTTGCTTTATTATCTTCTCCATAATCTTACAGCAAATGGAGGTGAGGCTGACCGGTCTGTAATTATTCGCAGAGACCCGACTTCCGCCCTTGTGCAGCGGCGTAATCCACGCCGACTTCCAGTCGGGTGGCAGATATCCGGTCTCGAAGGATGTATGGAAAAGCAGGGAGAGTGGCTTAGACAACTCACGGGCGAGTTCCTTCAAAATCTTCGCCGGAATCTCATCGGGACCTGGTGATTTGGATTCCTTTAGCCTCAGCAACTCCGTCAGAACCATACCCTCAGTGAACTGGACGGTCTCTATAATTGGGGTGTCTTCGAAGGATTGAAGGGCCGAAGGGTTGAATCCTGTTTCGCTACTAAAAACAGACCGAAAAAATGCTGAAAGGTGATCAGCTTTCGCCCTGTCGTCAGTGAGATGCTCGCCTTCAGCAGTCCTTAGCAGGGGTATTGGGTCCTTGTTCCGCGTGCACTGCCTAATGTAACCGTAGAATAATTTAGGGTTCTCCGCGGCACGGTTAAGCAGATCCCGTTCGAATTCCTTTCGAGTTTTGAGAATAAGACCCTTGACTCGATTTCTTTGAATTTTGTACGCGCGTATAGATGTGGGGCTCCTGTCAGAAAGCGATTTTTTCCACAGCCGTCGTTTTTTATTCACTTCATTCTTCAAGGCTTGCGTAAGCCATCGAGGTCTGTTAGTTAACCTCTTCCGTGAAAGCGGACAGTGGTTTACGATCAGCTCGTGCAGAATTTCTCGGAACCGTTGCCAGTCTTCGAGTATGCTCCCAACAAATATGGACTCCCACTCAATGCGTGAAATTTCAGCCCCCATTTGGCCGAAATCCCCGCGCCAAAGGTTTCTTCTAACTGTCCCGGGTTTCTTGGGCATGGAAAAAAGCGAGTAATCCCATAGAAGAACGACGTGGTCACTTTTACCTAAGGGGGGTAGGCATGACACCTCATCAATGCTGTCCTGTGACTTCGTAAGGACAAGATCAAGGCAGTTGGCTTGTTGGCCTTCGCGTACTCTAGTTGGTAACATGACGTGTTGAGTGAGAAATAGCTTCAATGCCGTGTTCAGAAAACTCCTATCGAAGGTCTGTTCTGAGCTATTTGCATGGGTTGAGCTCCAGTCAATATGGGGCGCGTTAAAGTCGCCCATGATTAGGATATCCGGCCGCGTAGCGAACTTTTCGAGCTCCTCCAGCAGGCGAGCGTCGGCCATGTTGTCCCGTCTCGGCGGTCGATAAACTGTCAGGACATCGAGGTTAGGCGAGCTCGGCACTTTAATAGACAACCAGATTGCCTCGGAACTGCACGAAAAGTTATCGGTCTTGTCTGATACATTTAGCCCATTTTTTACATACGTTAGTACGCCTCCTCCCTGACGCCCTTCCCTATCCCTTCTAAACATCTGGTAGCCAGGCAAGGCCAGCTCACGGTCGTCCACGTGTTGGGTCAACCTGGTTTCTGTTAGAGAGATTACGTCAGGGCATAGGTCGCAGAGGTGGATCTTCAGCTCGTCGAACTTTGATAGCAAACTCTGCACGTTGGTGTACAAGAATTTCAATTTCCGGCTGACGGAAGATGTGGTTACATTTGGGTTAGCGCCTTCACTTAATATGTCGGCTGCGCGGTCATTCGGACAGGACCTGTCCAAAGGAAGAGAGACGGACGCCGCCGTACTTGGTTGTTGTATATTACTAAATTGTTCTCCCCCTCGCTGAGCCTCTTTCTTAGTTCTAGAACCAGCTGACGACGCTTGAGCCGTTCGGCTGGCGAGTAGTCCGGTTGAAAAAAAACACCGGGGTTGGAGCCTTTAATCTTGAATCGCCTGGACTAAATGAGACTGGCTTGGTCGCTGCTGGTCAGCACAACTTTAAGAGGCCGGGTTCGAGTGGACATTGATGGATTATCTGCTCGTTTTCCAAGGCGGAAGGCTTTGATCACTTCAATAGCCTCCGTGGGTTCCAAAATATTATTGAGAAGACCTTGGAAGAGTGATAGGTCTTCCGAAATTCGATCATTGGGAGTAATTGCACTTGATTCAGGGAGCCCCTGAATAATAAGACATTGTTCTCTGTCGGTCTTTTTTTTATTTTCTACGGAATTGTGGTTCCCTAAATGACGTAACGCTCTGGGACTACGCGCTGGTGATGGTGGAGCAGATGCACTTACGCCGTCTGTTTGTTTGACTCTTATGTTGACAATCTTGGAAGAAGTACTTGGCGGAGAAGACTGCGGAGAGAAATCTGTGGCTGTGATGGATGAATCGATTCCACCGCTCGTACTAGGTCTATCAAGCTCGGACTGTTTCTGAGAGTCAGCAAAGGTGTTTGAACACACAGCATTTGTCATGAGGGGCGGAGCATCTGTCAATGTCTCTGCTTCGGCCGCTAAAGAGGCATCTTCTGGAAGTAGCCGTCCGTTTTTCTCGGCCATTTTACAGTTGGATTTCTTTTTCTCTTCAGTTTTTGGGTTGCCTTTCTTGTCATTATTTTCTCGCTTTTTAGCTATTCCTTCTGGGGCCGCTGTAATAGGTGCTGGCGTGCCTATTACGCTGGGAGCTTTCGCCCTACTTCTCGTTACTCGTCCAGTAGGCAAAGTGCTAGCGTTAGCTTGGTCTAGACTGCATCGCAACTGGGCTTTTATCTTTGTGATTTCTTCCTCAAGATAGTTGACCTTGGCGGCTAGAATCTGGCATCCATTGCAGCTTTGGCCTGCATTTTCTGCGTCCATACAGTCAAGTAGACTATGTGATACCGCTCGCGGACGTGCTGCGGTGGCGTAGGGGTTAGCGCAATTGACTAAGCAAGGGGTGATCGCTGGATCGATTCCACACCCCGACCCTACTTTGCGGACGTCAGTGCGTACTTCAGTTATGCCGTGAAGTTATGGAAAAGGAGCAGGCCACAGGAATCGAAGAAAAAAACGTCGACTAGGACCAAATAGGGAAAACTGCGTGTATGGTTGGGTTTGTCGGAGAATCTCAAGAATGCAAGGCCTGGAGGTCTTTTTAACTACGACTTTTTGTTAATATGCCAGGAGTACAAATCTAAGCAGCTCAACAAGCAGTGCAGAAATTATCGACTCAGCCTTTAGTAGGTCCTGTTCCCAAGGTACGGTGGACAATTCGAGACGATATGAAGGATTTGTAGGCTATGTTGTTTACGCTCAGATTGCCAGCAATTTCAGAAAAGTGTCCTAGTCGTACGATGAGGGCAACGATGACAGCAAGGTTGAGGGTAGTAGGCAACAATGCGTTTGAGAATCCAATTTCTGATGCCGGACCAACTGTTTCCAGTGAGGAACTCGATTGAAAATGTCCTTCTTGCTCCTCAAAATTCAAACCGCGCGCGTGTATAGTGAAGTGATAGCAAACGCTAACACCAGAAAGGCGCCAGAATTCCGCGAAGCTTGGCATTCTGGCACGACCAGCAGCAACCGCCACGTCGATCTAGACGCTCACTAAGGGGGTTTACGTACACACTCACTGACGTGTTCTCACCCCCTGACAACTGCTAATCTCTACTCGGCCACGTAGGACCATGCTGTCTCGCCACTTCCCCCTTGCGACACGGTGAACAACAGCAGTCGAAACCCCTAGCATCTTCAACGCCATTACATATCCCCTGACCTCATCCAACATCAATGCCCAGGCGCACACATTCCCACTGATCCGCTTTTCCCCCACTCCTTCTCCACCTCCACCAACACAGGGAGCCCTAACGGTTCTCCCTTCCCTCTCCCCGCCCCAAAACTTACCATAACTCACGCATCAGCTATATGCACTGTCACGGCTAAGTCTGCCGATCTCCCTTTCTCCTCTGTTCATTTCGTCTGATGACGGGCTGGTGTCACCAACTTGCAAATTCATAAATTCAATTCCATTTTTCCGAAGCGCTTTACTTTTTCATCATATCATATCGTAATATACACCACGTCAGTTATTTTACGCCTCGTATTTTTTGGGGGTCTCCTACCTGAGCTATAGTCAAGAATGCAATTAAGGCCAAAAGGTTGGCAACGGGAGACAGATCCAGTTAAAACAAGGTCTAAGGGGTTCAGATGTCTGGAAAACTTCAGGCAACATAACTTACAGCGAATGCTTCGAGACTTCGGACAACGCTCAAGCGACAACTACGAGAATTCAGTCAACAGTAATTCAGGCTTATGCTTTGATACAAGGGTGCAATTAATATTAAAGTTCCGAAGTGTGACACAACCTTTGTAGAAGTTGTTCTGGGCGTTTCGTTTGCATGGAGATCGGCCTCTCTGGGCTTGCATGTCCAAACTGGTAGCGGTCGAGGTCCACCTTCGGCGAAAGTCGCGTTGTTAATATTCGACAATGTGAATATTGATATCTTGAAGTCGATTTTTAATTCCAGTTGGCTGCAGGAGCGTCCAATTTACCGAAATCTCGAAGAACAAAAACACTTCGGAGGACGAAAATTTGAACCAAATTCGAAAGACGTCTACACCAAACACCGCAACAATGCGTTCTATTGCTACTTTTGCATGTCTTCTAAATAACGTTGGATGTCACTTTTTTCGTAGCCCTCTTACGTTTGGCCTTCGTGGGCGGATACGGAGGGGATAAGTCATGCAGTTTTATGGGTAGTTCATCCTCACCAATTACTCCCGGATATTCCGTTGTTTCTGTACTCTCCCCCCCCCCCCTACTTGGTGGAGCGCATTTTCGACCTTTGAAATCAAGATCTGGCGATGTTGCATTTGTGTACCACCGAGGGGTTGTTGTGATGATTGAGGGCTTGTCTTATGCTTGTTGTCTTTTAGTTCATTTTGCTGATAACTTCGTCACTGAATCTGTGTATGACGATAACGTCAAGGGCGGGAAATTGGTCGGCCTTATCGTCCTTCCTTGTGAACCGAAGATCAGGAGATTTGTTGTAAATCCCGATATATGATAGATCAGCCTATTATGACCATTCGGATTTCGATCGTTTAATTGATGAGGGTATGGGAGTGAATGTTATTCTACCGCCACTGTGACCGTCGCTTGATGCATCTGTATTTGGTTTTGGATAGTAGAATACTGGTCTTCACGTATACCGTCGCTCCATTGTTCTAAGGTATCCAAGTCCGCGATGTCAGTCCTTTACCTTGTCAAGCGAGCTCTCTCTACTTTCGATGAGGGTTGCTTTGACAAAGTCCTTCGGACGTTTTTGCGGCCACAGTTAGAATTCGTCACTCAGACGTGGAACTCCTGAACTTCTAAAGATCTCAGCATCCTTGAGAAAGTTCAAAGGCGAGCAGCCAAACTCGTTAGTGGACAGGGTTCAATACGTCGCGAAACACGATTATCCAGTCTCGGCCTTTTCTCTGAGTTACAGACAGCTAAGAAGCGACCTGATGCAGACATTCCGTATTAGGCGCATTAGGGACTACTGTCTGTTACCTGCTGATGTACTTGAGTTAGCGACCACAACGAACCTCCGAGGTCATTTATTTAAACTTCGTGTGACTAGCGTCCGGGTGGACATACGAGCGTTCTTATTTTCCAGCTGAGTGGTCAAAGCTTAAAAACTCTGCCTGCAGTTATCGTCATGTCCACCTTCGTGGAGGCTTTTAAGCGAAAGCTGGGCCATTATACCACCAAACATCATAATGCCGTCTGACAGATACCGTCTTAGCTTTTTGCCCCAACAGTTTATTATTGTTCTAATATTACTGACTGTATTTCAGTTTTTTATTATTCCAAGTCCGTTGAATGTGAGGGTTGGCGTTCGATTCGTCTCCCTCATAAACTGAGATCACATCAATATTCTACAGCACAATAATAAAGAGACTGACTACTGCAAAACACATTAAGTAATACAAACATTTCGATTGTTTGACCGGTTTCGAAAAAAATACTGTATCAGTTCGATGTTTCCAATCTCAGTTTTGTGATTAAATTTGCTTCTATGTATACAAACAGGGAGTTTAAATGTTCAGCAGCTACTTTTCCATCCAATAAACTGGACTCAACTGCGATCACTCAGATTTTTGCCAAAAATTATTTTCCTGGGCACAGCGCTGCTGTAGGCGCACGTTTCTGTTTGTACAATTATACGTTCGCTGCTGGCAGTCTCTGATCCGCAGGTGATTACAGGTGTTTTAAATGACACGCACGCCCACTGTGAGATCTAGCAGTTAATGGTGATTCTCTTTGTTAATTTCCGAAATTCCAAAATCTATAATACTAATTTGCGTTCCTGCCGCGTCATCTGGATGTATGAGGTAATCAACGAGATTCCCGTAAATATGCACCGGTAGCTTACTTGTCGAAAGGTTCCCCATCCAGTTCGCCAACAGGGATTTCACTCGAAAACCTGTCTGCAACTCAAATGTTTATAAACAACTGTACTCGGTCCCTATTTCGTACTCTGTGCATCTACAGTAAATATCAGAGTTCTGATATGGTTAGACAATAAAAGGCGGGCTATTACTTCTGTTCTTTTTGTTATAAGGGCATGAAGAATACATGACCTCTAGCCCGTATAACAGGAGAAACGTGATTGGCCCAAATAATATTTTAGGCGTTCATTTGCTGGCATAATACCCTGAGAATACAACTAGACTCAGGATATCCGAATCGTAAGTAAATAATTATAATATGGTCTATGCTCAGTCGCACAAAAATTTAAGTCATGTTCTAAATTGGCTTTATTATTTTGCTAGATTTTCCAGGTTCAAAATAACTGTTTGTTGAAGAAACGAGCCTTGTGAAGGCCCAAAGTTTGACATTACGAAATCCGTTATGAAATCTTTGTAAAGGTTACTCGGAGTTTGCTAATTGGCGGTGACCATGGCGTTTTGACCCATGTGATCGCAGAGTCTATTGATACAGTCGCGTAGCACTCTCACACGCAGTCAGGGGAAGCAAGAGAAGATACGTTGTAGACTGTCCACCCACCGTTCGTTGCCAGACAACGCAATCTCCCTTCAATGTCACCGACACAACACGTCTAAATTCGCAAAGCGTATGTGATGCTTTGTATTCTTTGTGGCCAACAGTGCAAACATCTTCGTACCCCAAATGTCTGCTCATTACAACCAGGAGAGCTTGGGTCTAAACAACGAGAGGAGTTTCCTGTAGTCGGATATTTTTGCGAATATCGTTTTTCCATCAGTACTTTTGGTCGCCGTTGCGAGGGTTTATTTGGAGGGTCAGGGATCAATCCCCAGCCGGCATCGTGACATCGGTGTTCGCTAGGGAATTTTAAGCCGGAATCGGGTAGGCATGGAAATGCGACGAGCGTTGCTTTGCGAGAAAACAGTTTCAAACAGAAATTGGTTTAAATCCAGATTTTGTCACAATATTACAAATGACGGATCTATTTCAAAAATATAAAGTGAATGACCGATCTCATGAAATGTTGGCTGAAATTCTGAAAGGCGCTTTCGATTAGGAAGTTTGCTTGGGCGCGGTTGTAATA